GGCGGGAAGCTGGGTGTGGGTGGTGGCGAAGAGTCGTTTGGAAATTTGGTAGAGCTTGAACCGGCCCCCCCACAAAGTGGGGGTATTGCCCGCCTCCTATGAAAACCCTGGCACTGGTGAGAACGGTGTGTCCCCACGTGCTAGTAATTGTTGTTGTTGTTGTTGTTGTTGTTGTTGTTGTTGTTGTTGTTGTTGTTGTTGTTGTTGTTGTTGTTGTTGTTGTTGTGTGTTTATTGTGCTTTTTCCTCCCCCCTTTGGACGCCACTTGCGGAGCCCTTCCGCCGCCCTCCTTGGCTTCCTGCGGGGGCCTCCCCGGGCGCTTCCCGGGGCCGCATCGGGCCTTCGCTGCGGGGCCCTGCCTGGTCCGCTTCGATGTGTCTCTGGGGCACCTCCCTGGCCTCCTCTCGAGGCCAAGTCGACGCCATCTTCGGACTCTCTCTGCGCGCCTCTTGGGGGCCCCTCTTGCGCTCCGCCCCCGGACTTCCTCGGGACCCTCTCGGAGCCTCGTGGGCCCCCTTCGAGCACGGGGCGCTGGTGGGATCAGTTTACGTTGCCCCTTGGACCTCTCCTCGTCGCCCCCTTGGGGCGATCGTGGGGCCTTCTCCGAGCGCGCCATGTCGGCAAGTGACTCTGCCCAGTCTGCGGTTTCGATGCTCACTCGCCCCGCGTTCAAGAACCATTCGTGGGCAGTTGCTGACGTTGCGCGCGCGCATGCGCGCTGCTGCGAGACTGGGCCCCGAGACGCGTAGAACTTCAGCGCGCGCGAAGCTCGCGCGAGGGATTTGGTTTTTTGTTTGAAGGAGGGATGGAGGAGGAGGAGGAGGAGGAGGAGGAGGAGGAGGAGGAGGAGGAGGAGGAGGAGGAGGAGGAGGAGGCACAGGGGCTGGGGGCGGAGAAAGAGCGGGGTGTGGGGAGGGAAGAGGAGGAGGTGGACGAAGGAGGAAGTGGGAGGGGGGGGAGCTCAGCTTGGGCTCGGGCCCAGGCACGGGCTCGTGTTCGGTCTCGGTCTCGGGCTCTGGCTTGGTCGGGCTCGGGCTCGGGCTCGGGCTCGGACTCGGGCTCCGGCTCGGGCTTGGGCTCGGGCTCGGGCTCCGGCTCGGGCTTGGGCTCGGGCTTGGGCTGGCGCCCAAGCTCGGGCTCGGGCTCGGGCTCGGGCTCGGGCTTGGTCTCGGGCTCGGACTCGGGCTTGGGCACGGGCTCGGGCTCAGGCTCGGGCTCGGGCTGGGGGGAAGGGGGCGGAGGGAACGAGGGTGAGGGAGGTGGATGGTGTGATGGAGGACGAAAGAAAGGCAGGACAAGGGATGAGAAGAGACTTGGTGCACCGAGGAGGAGAATGAGAAGGGGGGATGGTAGAGGGAGGAGGAAGAGGAGGCGGAGGAGGAGGAGAGTAGGAGGAAGAGCCGCAGGAGGTGGAATGAGGAGGGAGGAGGAGGAGAAGGAAGGGGGAGGCACGATGAAGGACTTGGATTGACCAGCGCAACTACCAACGCGACCACATAGACAAGCCAGCACAACCGCCAACAGTACCACCAGCACCACCCATCCAGCGACACCACAACCGCCAGCAGTACGAGCAGCTCCAGCGAAACCACCCGCATAACCACGAGCGTGACTTCCATCACCAGCACAACCACCAGCACCACCTCCAGCGCAACCAGCGCAAACACCAGCTCAACCAACATCGTAACCAACAGCAAGACAAACAGCACAAGCGCCAGCACAACTACCAGCAGACCCGCCAGCGCAACCACCAGCCCAGCCACCAGCGCAAACACCAGCACAACCATCAGCACAGCCACCAGCACAGCCAGCAGCTTAATCACCAGCACAACTACCAGCATGACCCTCCGCGCGACCACCACAGCGACCGCACGCACAGCAGCCCGAGAGACCCCACGACGACTTTGACACTACCGCAATCTCATTTTTCGGTTGGAAAGAACAAGTGGATTTGAGCAATACTCCCACGCCGATCCCATAGCGTGGACTGACACAAGGAATGTCGAACAGTTTGTTTTTGAATGAGCGCGTGCGACCAAGGACAGGCGTCCCGACTAATGGTTCGAATACGTAATTTTCGGACGTGGCTGCGTGGTGGTTATGCTGGTGGTTGCGATGAGTGTTGTGTTCAGTGTTGACGGTGGCGGTGACTGCCGGTGGTTATCGTCGTCGCCGTCAGTCGTCACCGTCGTGTTCGCTTGACTGTTCGTTTGCCTGTGTTGCTCCATTATTAAATCGCTTCGCTCATTCCGCCGGCCCGTGATATGGCATCGCTGGTTTTTGTCTGTGTGTTCGTTGCCCATGTTGCGCTCTTGGGGGCGGGTGTCGTTCGGACGCGTTGCGTGGGGCGTTTTGATGGCGAAGCAGTTCCCTGGGGGTCGTCTCTCGATGGGGCGAAATAGGGTCGTCGTCAAGATGCTTCTTTGGGGGGCCTCTTGGGGTCTGTTGAGAGGCCGTTCGGGGGCGCCTGGGAGACATGTTTGAAGCCTTCTGGGGCTTCTTTTGGGCCTCCTGGGAGTCTCCTGGGGCCTCTTGGCGACATCTTGGGGCCTCTTGGAGGCCTCTTGGGGCCTCTTTGGGACCTCCTGGGCGCCTTCTGGGACGGAGGGCTCCATTTTTGAGTTCTCGGTATCCCTCCTGAGTCCCTCTTGGGCCCGTCTTGGGGCCTCTTGGTCCGTCTTGGGCGGCACTTGGGCCGTCTTGAGGGCTCTCTTGGGTCGTTTCGGCGCCGTCTTGGGAGCTTCGTGGGCCGTCTTGGAGCGGTCTTGGGGGCCTCTTGGGCCGTCTTGGAGCGTCCGGAAGCCGAAAAAGCCAAAACACAAAAAACATTGAAAAAACAATGAAAATCAACGATTTTGGCCTCTTGGGGCTCTCTTCGGAGGCCTCTTGGAAGGCTCTTGGGGCGTCTTGGAGGCCTCTTGGGCTGTCTTGGGGGCCTTTTGGGCCGTCTTGGGGTCATCTTCGGCGTCTTCGAGCGCTCTTTGGGCGTCTCGGGGGCCTCTTGGGCAGTCTTGGGGGCCTCTTGGGGCACTCTGAGCGCGCTCTGGGGAGCCTGAGAGGCCGCACCCAGAAGGAAAACCATCTCTGAGTAGACTTGGTCGGGCGGCGGTCGGGCGGCGGTCGGGCGGCGGTCGGGGTACTTTTCGCCGGGGGACCCCCAGGGGCCGCCCCGCGCGCGCGAACTAGAAATACTGTTAATACTGTTAATCAGTTACCGGAGATCTTAGCACGCCCTGGCCCGTTGGGCCGGCGAATTTGCTCGTGACTCGCAGCCTTGTCACGGATTTGTTACGTATACTTGTTTTTTTCGGTCGCGGGTGGGGGGCGTTGTGTTATTCACCCAGTGGCTTGTTCCATAAAGGCCCGCTCAACGCTGGCGGGTGCTTCCGTTTATGCCTCAAGCCCTGACGGCTTCGACAATCATTACCCGCTCAGAGCACCTGTCCTGGCACCTCCCTCCCGCGCACCATCTCTCGACCCCTCCGCGCCTGGCCGTGACGCAGAAGGCCTCCGTGATCTGGCGAAGACCCTTCCGGCCCACCCCCTGTCGTCCGACTGTAGCAATGGCCGCTGTCTGGGGGATCGATCTTCGTGGGTCTCGGCGAGGTGGAGGATCTGGGTACGTAGCGTCCCGCACTTAGGAATAAGAGTGAAGGGGTCGGCAGCGCGGGCGAACCGCCACCAAGAATTGGCCCCCAAGCGTAGGCTGAAGTAGGGCGTGTCGCTCTACAGGAGGAATATTCAAAACTAGGTGAAACAGTAGTCTGGGGCCGATGCTGTGATCCTTGCTTCGCCATCTGGGTGGGCAGTTGTCGAGCCTTGTCGATGTTTCGTCCAACATCCACCTGTTGGGGGGGACATGCCCGACCTAAGCGTACAGTGCCGTTTTTTTACATATACATGCTCCGCGTGCGGATCATGTATCAAAGATGCATGGGTTTAGTATTCGAAACAAAGATGAGTTCATGCATACATTTAGTCATGACTTAACCATGTATTAGAAGTCATATATATAACTAAAACTATATATAGAAGTCATGACTATCTATATATATATAACTAAAACTATATATAACTAAAACTATAACTAAAACTATATATATATAACTAAAACTATATATATGTATATGACTATATCATGTATTAGAAGTCATATATATATAATATGTATATATAACATCCTATGCACTAAAAACTGCCCTGTAGGCCACCCTCCCATGGATGCAGCCCCCGAGGGGAGCCCGCGCGTGCACCCCCCGTGGGTGCAGCCCCCCCCGGGTGCAGCCCCCCAGTGGGGGCCGGGTCTCCGTCCGCCCACGCGCGGAGACGGCAGGACCGCTCGGGCCCCCTCAAAATCTGCCTGGCCGTGGGGGGAAGGGGAGGGGGTGGAGATATCGAGGGGGTGGAAAGAGAGAGGGGGAGGAGGAGGAGGAGGAGGAGGAGGAGGAGGAGGAGGAGGGAGGAGGAGGAGGGGGAGGATGGGGAGGAGGAGGAGGAGGAGGAGGAGGGGAGGAGGAGGAGGAGGATGAGGATGAGGAGGAGGAGGGATGGATGGGGGGGGCCAAGCACATCCACGTCTCGGGAGGGAAACAGACAAAAACAGACAGGCACAAATCATCGTCGGTCCCCAGGAAACGGTGCGAACACATGGGAAGTGGGGGAGGAAGACGCAAACCCACAACAGATGGACCGAGCATTTTCTTTTGGTGGGGGGCAGAGGGTGAAGTCTGAGAGGCCGTTTCGACTTCGAGGTTTGAATCTGCAAAATGTGAGTCACAAGACGGATCGAACTTCGAGGTGCAAAAGCTCACATGGATTTCACCCTGAGCCCTCAACCCTAAGAGAATGTTCAGATGGGAAGTATTTGGGGAACCCTGGGATCTGTGTGCATTCATTTGTGTGTGTCCCTGGGCCCCTCCGGCATCCAGCCGCCTGTCGGGGCCGCCGCAGCTCGACCCCCGGCGGGCGGCGCTTGCGGACGAGCCCCCCGCGCCTCGCAGGCCGCGATCGTGCACAGTCCTCGGCGGCACGCCGCGGGGGGCAGGCGAGAGGGGGCGGGCCCTCTCGGGAGGCCGCGAGGCTCCCCAGGAGAGGGGGTGGGCCCTCGCGGAGGGCTGCGCGAGGCTTCCCGGGAGCCTGGCGGGGTTCTTGGGAGAAGCCGTCGCCGCGGCCTCGGAGAGGGCTCAGGAAGCCCTTTCGGGAGGCCCGAGGCGCTCATGATTAAGTTGGGACCTGTTCCTCCAGAGGAGGAATATTCAAAAATGGTCAAAAAATAGTCTTGAGACGATTTCTTAACAATTTTTGGACCATTTGGGGGTATGTTCGAGTATTGTTATTCCTTCGCCCAAAATCCCCCTGCAGGGGGACAGGCCCGACCTAAGCTTATGAGCCTCCTGAGAAGGTCCGCCAGAGGGCCGCCCCCGCTGCCTTTCCCCCCTGGGCTCGCCGAAGTCAGCGGTGCTTCGCGCGCGCGCGCCGCGCGCCCGTGCGCCTGCGCGCAAAAACTCCCATCGGCCAGCCCGCCCCGCCGCGCGCGCGCGGTAGGTCTCCACCCCAGCGAGCTTTGTCTCCGTGAAGGCGCGCGCGGGGGGGGGGGGGCGGGGGACAGGATGGGGGAGGGGAGGGACGGAGGAGGGGAAGGCCGGCCCAGACGTGCTCGCGCCGAACAAGAGCGCGGTGGACGATGCTTTGACTGTTCTCGGTCTCCAGGCGGGCCTCGCCGGGCCCCAGGACCGTCAAGGGCCACTTCGGAGTAAAACATGAGAACCGGCCTTGGGAAGAGGGTCGGGACTTCCGGGGACCGCGCATTGAAGAAATCAGGACATCCGATGTCTGAGGATGGAAGCTGGATGCACTCAGGGGGAAAGTGACGTGGGGGACCGGCTCGGGGGGGGGTCATCGACCCCCAATCGCCCACGGCCCACCCCGCCCAGGAACAACCAGTTTCGCCTTCGGGGAGCCATCGCCGATCTATCGGCGATTGAAGCTCGATGTTTCCCCACCCTCCTACTCCTCCTCCTCCTCTTCCTCCTCCCCCTCCTTTCCTCCTCCTCCTCCTTCCTCCTCCTCCTTCCTCCTCCTCCTCCTCCTACTCCTCCTCCCCCCCCTTGGTGCGCACGACGCGTCCGGCCTGGGCAGCAGCACGAGGGTGAATCTTCCTAATCAGTTGAAGACAAGTGTGCGTTGCGTTCAGGCGAAAACGCATGTTGAAAGCCACCCGCCTTCCATTCGTGAAACTGTCTCAAGCTTTTAGCAGGACGTGCGCGAATTTAAGGCGATTGCTCGATGTTGCCCTCACTCCGGAAATTTGCTGGAAAGATATCACACTCGGGGATCACAGGTTGTGTGGACGTCTCCCGCGAAACGCCCGGCCCGCCCTACCAACACGTCTGGGTGTGCGACAGGGAGGAGCTGCATAGTATCGCAGGCCTAGAGGTTGACACCAGCACCAATGTCGGCGGTGTGCCTCCACCGAGGGAAGAAGATCCCGATCTCGGTGATTGTGGTAATATTCTGGCTTTCAAGGCAACCAGAGTATTACCACCAACACCGAAATCTAGGGATTATCTTCCCCTGTGGAGGCAACCCCCTGTGTTGGTGTAGGTGCTCTTTCCAGGCCCCCAATAGTACGGAAAAAAGCCAGGTCACCCGCGAGGGCGCGAAGATCACCGCGCTTCGCGCGCCGCGGTCCGGGCCAGAGCGGCCGCCCCCTCTCCACGGGGCCAGCTTCGAGGGCACGAGGGCGCGAGGAGTGACGAACCAACAACACACACCCATACCCCCATAGAGGGGTCGGAGAGGGCTATGGGTGCGTGTTGTCGGATGGGGGTCCCCGCTCGAACCGGAGCGTTCCCCAGGGTCCGACAATCCGCACCCATACCCATAGCCAGTCCTCCTCCCAACGACCCCCCTATGGGTATGGGTGTGTGTTGCTCGTTCGTCAAAGAGATCATCGCGCATCGCGGGGCGCTGGGCGCGAAGCTGGGGGACCCAGGAGAGGCACGGAGGTGGAGGATCTAGACTTGAGCTGGGCGTGTCCCTCCTCTACAGGAGGAACATGCAAAGATAGTCAAAGAATAGTCGGGGGACGGAATGTATTGTTTTACTCATCTTGGGTTATGGCTTACATCGTCTATCTGTCGTTCAAGATCTGCCTGTAGGGAGACACGCCCGACCTAAATCTAGACGTCACCCAGCGGAGGAGCGGGAGGAGGCGCGGCCCAGGCCGGCGCCGCCGAGGGGTCGCCGCTGCTGCTCTCGCGGGAGCACTTGGTCTTCGCGGCGAGGCGTCTGCGCCCCTCCGCCGCCCCCCCCCCCCCGGGGGGGGCGCTCCCGTGTCGGGAGCCTTGGGACGGGGGTCCCTGCAAGCGGGGGCCAGCCAGAGCGCCCGATTTTGCAGGATCCTGCAGAGCCGGGGTCGCACTGGCCCGGGCTCTGGCGCAGGATCCTGCAGGATCTTGCAGGATCCTTCGCATTGGCCCGGGTTCGGGTGCAGTATCTTGCAGGATTCTGCAAGGCCTGACTGACCCGGGTCCGGATTGACCCGGGTCAGAAGATCCCCGACAGTGCCCGAGTGGCCAGATGCCAGGAGAGACTCAGCGGATGAAAACGTAGCGGTGCCACTATGTGCCCTTCCCTCGTGTTCGTGGTTTTGTTTTTTGTTTTTTTGCTGGCCTCCCGGGAGGTCGTCGTCGCCGCGGCTGCAGTCGCCTCGAAATCCTGGTCGGAACGGACCCAGGGAGAGTACCTCTTGGCTGCCCCAGGGGCGCAGAGAGGAGGTGCCCGCAGCAGGGGTGCAAGAGGACAGCTGGGGCGCTCGCCGATCGCCTCTCTCTGCGGCTGAGAGGTGCCACGTCGGCCACGGGCCCGTCCCTGGCGCTCCAGGGGCTTTTTGGCTCTCTCTCTCTCGCGCCGCCCGTTGGCGTTGCGGGTGCCCGTGGCGCACGGGCCTGCAGAGGTTTCTGCCCCCTGAGCCAGGCTCTGGAGTTCATAGGGGGTAGCAGGGCCTGCCCTTGTTGTGAGTCTGTCTGTCTGTCTGTCTGTCTGTCTGTCTGTCTGTCTGTCTGTCTGTCTCCCTCTCTCTCTCTCTCTTTTTCTCTCCTCTCTGTCTGTCTGTCAGGTAGTCAGTCAGTCAGTATATCACGTCACTCGTAGGCACCAGCTATATAGTCTTACCGAACTGATCGAGAAGGGCACGCTTTCCCTGCATCTCCTCGCGTTTCTGCTCATGCCCCCTCCGATCTTCTGATCTCGTGCTCCTCATCCTCTTCCTGTACTAGCAACGTCTGCGCCGATGACATCGGCTGTGATCTTCTTGCCCTTCGTGATCTGCTTCACCTACGACCTCACAGACGTGCTGTTGCCGACTTAGCAGTGCTTCACCGGCAAGGCCATCTTGCCTTCCGGTAAGAGCGGCGCAAGTCCTCAGCGCGCGGCCCCGGTGCCCTCCCGCTCTCTCACCATCCTCCCGCTTTCCCCCTCAGCTGCATGCGCATCTGCGTGGCGCACAGCGCAGAAGACTAGGCTGAGCCCAGAAGTGACCCGTGTGCGTAGCACCGGGCGCGGGAGGCCCTGCCGCCGGGCGCAGCCGTTGCTCCGGCGCCCGCTTCCCTTGCCAGGGCCCCGCCTTGTCCGACAGGCTTCCAGACAGGTGCCCGTGCACCCACCTGGAGGCGCGTCTGGTCTTCCGGACGGCAGTGGCGTACCACCCCTGCGGAGCGGGAAGAGGTGCTCAGATGAGGTGGTGTCGGATTGTCGCCGACGCTTGAGTCGCTGCTGCTCGAGCCACGGGGGTGCCTCCACTGCCTGGGCCACCCTCTGCGGCGGCCGCCACGGTGGTACCCCCGCCTCTTGGTCGACCCGCAGATGCGGCCCAGGTCTTCCACTGCACAGGCGAAGGCTGCGATGCCGCAGCCAGCGGCAGGCGCGCTCCCTGGCGTCGATTCCAAGGGCTTCGCATGCACGTCGATGCCCACTTGCTCGGTCAGCTGCCAGGCCAGACCCTTGCCAGAGGGATGGCAGCGTACTGCCTCGTAGCGTTGCATTCTTGGTGGGTATTAGGAACCCAGGATCGCCCATGTTGGCTTAAATGTCCTGGAAATGTCCTGGGGCGTTTTTTGAGTAGGCTTTGTTGAAAGCCTTAAAATGTCTTCAAAATGTCTTCCGCGCGCTTCTGGATCAGGGGGTCCAACCCTTCCAACCTCGAGCGAATGGCGCCACAGCCGCGCGACGCTGCCTTGCCAAACGTGCGACTGTAGTGCGCGGCGTTACAGCCACGTGGCTCTCTCTCGCCGAACGCGCGACTGTAATGCCACTGTGCCTGCGCATTCAGGACGCATCAAGTTGTCCGCGGCAAACCCCGCCGCCTTGCCAGCGCAACAGCCTTCGTTCGCTTGTTCCTCATCATCGTTTTCCTCTCAGTTTTCCCCTCCTCCTCATCGTCATCCTCGTCTGCCTTTTCCTGATCATGTTCCTCCTATTCTTCACGCCGCCTGCCTGTATTCGCTCCTCCCTGTCCTCCCTCTGGCTTTCCTCAGTTTTCTTCTTCGAGTGAAAGTTGGGAACTTATTTGCTAGCCTCTTGATGTTCATTGGGGTACATAGGGTCGTCTGGGGGGGGGGTCGCGGTATGGTTGGGGGTTCTGGGCGGGTTCTGGGGTGGTTCTCGGGGGCTTCTTAGGGTTCGAAAGCGTTTCGGAGACTTCTGGGAGCCCATGGCAGGGGCGTCCTCGAGGCATCTTGGGGGCACGTTGGGGTTTTCTTGACAGGATTCTTGGAGGGGACAGCTTTCAAGTCCAGGTCGATGTCGCTCCCGTGGGCCTCTCTTACGGTGTTCTTGGGGGGCATTCGGCCGCGTTGGAGGCATATAAAGCCATATTGGTGTATCATCGGGCCGTCTTGGAGGCATTCTGGGCCGTCTCAGGGCCATCCAGGGCCAGCCTGGGCTCTCCCGTGGGAGAGCGGCGGCGGCGGGCAGGACGTATTGGGGGGGGGATGTGCGAGGGCAGCGGGGAACCATTGGGGATAGAGCGGGGGCGGCACTAGAGACGGACGGCGGCTATGGACACCAAGCAGTGTTGCGCGACGTAGGCTAACGTTCGGGCCAGTCCGATTGTAAACAAGTGCAAGTGCAAGCATTGTTTGGGAAAGTAAGGGCATCCTTATGCGCCAGGTGGCGGTGAATGCGGGGCGATGGCGCTTGATTTAGGGAGGGGGGTACCATCGCCGTCGCCAAGAGGGCGGGGGCGAGTTGAAGGAATCATGATGATGAGGAGGAGGATGGGCAGCAGCGAGAGAAGGATCGGCATCTCCCTCCCTAGATTAGGCGCCATCGCTTCGCATTCGTTGCAGTCGTTTGTCCTGCGTTGTTCCTGCTCTTGCTCGCGTGCACCCGCGACCGCTTTGGTCCGGGCCTCTTTCATTGACCACCCAGCGGGTCATTTTTCGGCTGGGCCGCCGATCCCCCTCCATCGGCCCAGCCAGCGCCTGCTGCCGCGCTCGCGCGCGACGCATGGCGGCGAAGCGCATGAGGCTGGACGTCGCCAGGTCCTCAGAGATGGCGCCGAGTCTCAGGCTGACCGACGATGAGATCAAGGCGGTGTTGGAGCGACCTCGGCTGTTTTGGGAGAGCCCGCTGATGTCTAGAATGGGCGCCGTGCTCTTGGCGGCGCGCCGCGAGAACGTGGAGGCTTCATCTGTATGCCGCGGTCTGCTGCACGATGGTCTGGGTTGTTCGTTCCGCGCGAGCTTGGCGACTCAGGCATCGGCGTTGGAAAAAGGACAGTGGGAGATGAAGCACAGGATGCTGAGTTCGGCGGTGTGGGGGTGGCTCGTGGATCGATGGCATCGGTCGTTCATCGTGCGCGCCTTTGCTGTGCGCGCACGGGCCATCAACGCTGGAGTTCAATTGGTGCAGGCTGTTGACCACGCATCGTGCGACGAGACGCCGCTGGAGATCCAGGCGCAGAGTGACCATCGAGAGCTTCGTCGCCCTGCTTTTTCAGGTGGTGATTGTGGCGCTGAGGTGGCAACGATGTCATCCAGATCATTGTGCCTCGCCCTGTTGCGAGGCACGGTCCGAGGCTTCAGGGCCAAGACGGTCGCCAAGCTCTTCGCCACGAGGTCGCGGTACTGTCACCTTCTGAAGTTGAACCTCATGGGCCACGAGCGCTACATGTACCTCGTGGGGGACGTGGTGTGCCAGGTTCAGCCGTTGATGCGAACGTCGGCCGCTTGCCAGGCGTTGGCTCTGATCGAATCGGGTTCGGCTTCGCTTGCAGAGAATACGTTCTCCCACAAGGCGCGGATCACCGACGCGGACGGCCACAGGTCCAACAGAGCTGGCGAGAACATCTTGGATACGATGCGCCCGCCTGGTTGGGTGCGAATGTTCTTCCAGTGCCAGGCCCACTCGATCGTGAGGGCGCACAACATTGCCATGAAGCACGTTGACAATGGTGTGAAAGGCATCATTCATTTGGCGTTGTGTTTCAAAGTAGCTGGTAGCAAGCACCCGTTCAACGAACGTCATTGGAATGAGGTCCACCGACGGCTCCGCGTCAGAATTGTTCTCGCTTCGCGTATCACCACCAGCCCATCCAAAAAAAAGTCGCCAGGCGAGTTGACCCGATCAGGGATGTGTAGCAGCATCTGGCCCAGCAGCGATCCACGTCCTCCGTTGAGGAGCAGTCGGAGTGAAGAGAAGAGAGAGGGAGCATGCAGAAAACGGATGGGGATGGATGAGAGGAGCAGGTGGGGAGGACGAAGAGGAAGATGATGATGATGATGAGGAGGAGGAAGCGGAGCACGAGCAGGAGGGGGAGACTAAGTAAAATGATTACGATATAGATGGTGAGGGATAGGCGCACGACGACGAGGACGAAACATACGACGGCGACGACGACACCAACGACGACGACGACGACGACAATAGTCAAGCACCAAGGTCATTGCAGATGCTTTGCTCTGAAGGCGTCGCGTCTTGGAGGCTTCTTGGAGCCATCGCGGGGCCCGCTTGGGGTCGCCTTGGAGGCTTCTATAGCTTTCTTGCTGCTCTCTTGGGGCTCCCTTCTTGGGCTATTGGGGCGCTCTTGGGACCCTCTTGGAGGCCTTGGAAGCCCTCCTGGGGCCATCTTGGAGGCCTCTTGGGCCCTCCTGGTGGTTTCCTGGGGCTTTCTTTGCGCGCTCTTGGGGCCCTCTGGAGGCCATATTTGACGCGTTGAAGGCCCTCTTGGGACCATCGATCAAAGAAGGAGGGGGTTCCCTAAGTCAGTGCCCCGTCGGGGCCC